GCACCCATTTTGTCTGCAGCAATCCTGTCAGGTAGGTGAGCATCACAGAATGCCAGGTTGTTAGAAGAAAGTGTTCTTGCACTGAGGGAGTACTTGAGTCGAGGCTCAATGTCCATCTGCAACCTTACTTCTTAACATATAGATATGAGTTTATTGATATATAATGCATATATAAATCAATGGTTCAAATACAACCCAAAAAATTGTGCAATCATTGCCACAGTCAATTTGGGGGCATTTTCTTCATTCTTCTTTCTATCCATTGTTATTGGCAGCTCCTGTCCCCCCACCTCCTTGTCATAACCTCAAGGAACCATTGATCTAGTTACTGACTATATAGGCTTATCTATCCTGGATTTCATATAAGGAAAAATCATACTATAAGGAAAAAAGGAAACAGCAAACAATAAAACAGAAAAACCTTATTCCAAAAGAAAGTAGAGCATAATAAAAATTAGACAAAAATGGGTCAAAACTTTTTTTAAATCATTTTATTGGGGGTTCTTACAGATCTTACAATATTCCATACATCAATTATTTCCAGCATATTTGTACATATGTTTCCATCATCATTTTCTAAACATTTACTTTCTATTTGAGCCCTTGGCATCAGTTCTTCTTTTTTCCCTCTCTTACCCCCTCCCACTCTCGTGACCCATTGATAACTTATAAATTATGTCTCCCTGCATCCACATTTCTGTTGGTTCTAAAATGTCATCTTTTGAACAAGTGCTGAGTGACAGTGTTTCCGGAGGCTTTAGTTTTCAATAGGCAAGTATACATTTTGGATGCAGCTTGGTGGAAGTAATGGGATCTATAAAGAGATTTCAGAAAGCTGGGAATCTGTCCAAATTTTACTTCTGTTTGTTTGAATTTTATTGTGGGTAAAATGGAGGTTTATATATTAGATCATCATTTTTGCATTCAACAACTTAAACACCTTATCAAACCTCCCAATGGCTTGCCTGTGCCCCCACACCCTTCCCCACCTCCCTTCCCCCAAGTCCCTCTAGCCTATTACTTACTCTCCCCTCCTTTCCTGTCCACCTCTGTTAACCATCAAAGTCTGTTTCTTTAGGTATGAAAACCTTTATCATGATTTTTTCTTTTATA